TTCCATGCGCGGTGAAAGGAGAGTCGAGGCCCTGTTGTCTCTCAAACCATTGCATACTTTTAGGAAAGCCGCTGATCTTTCTTTCTGTGTCCTTTGCCAAGCGAAGAGATATCGTTACAATTTCTGTCGGGTGTCGTACATAAAATGAAATATGTTTGTTATAAAGGGAGCATGTTGGACAACCTTGTAGATCCAGCGAGGCAAGGGTCTCGTTCGCAGTAACAAACTCCAACCTAGGCTGGTAGAGACCAATAAGAGCGTTGACTATGTCTTTATAAACGCCGCGACACCGAATTGAGCCTTCGCATAAGTAAAAGCCTGCATCATAGGTGGGCGAAGTGTCGAGTTGGAAGTAGAAGTTGGAGACTAATAGCGCTGTTGCAACTTCAATAAGCTGACCTTGCGGGTGTAGGTGTATCTGCTCTTTCTGTAGCGGGATATTTTGAACATCGTCCAGCCGAATTGGAAATGGTAGCTCAGTATTTAAACGAAAGAAATCTTGCCTGCGTTGCTCATCCAACCCATTTCTGATATCACCATATCTAGTATGCCCATCAAGGAAGTCCATAAACGAAGTCCATAGCCTCTGTATAGAGTGTGACTTTCTCTTAGGCAGCCCCTTGGAGGCCTCTCCGGTCCCGAGAGAGATGATGACGTCATGGGATATATTTTTCTCCCAAATACGGGAAGACTCCCACATTGCTAGTTCAATCGGGTTGGGGAACCCAAGCCCACCATCCCAATACTCTTGACCGTCAACCGTAATAGGCTTAAAGAAACTATACTCGTGATTAGCTGGGAAAATAAACATATAGGTATGGACGTATGGACGTACATAGGGGCTGCTGTTGTTGCACGAGCTCTATCCAAGTTTAGTACAATAGTATATTAACTACAATTAGATATCAACTCACGCTTGCCATAACGAAGCTTCGTTATTATTGTTTTCAGGTCGAACCACTGTATACCCTGCAAGCCATTAGGAAGATAGATAAGCAAGTTCAAAATTGTACATACCCGTCGGTTCTGCTGAACCATTGTAGTTTGTGAATATTGAACGTGCGTTCCCCCCAGATGTCGCAGTCAGTGCCACCTTTGTCCCTGATGTGATGCCGGGGACGTAACCAAATAAATGTCCTGGCAAATTCTCTTGAAGGGCACCTTCTAGAAATCGCTCGTCGTACATTGCATCGCTAGTTATGTACTTAACAACTGCTTTCAATCGGCCTAACGCGGACCCAGAGGTTGAAAAACAACGACGGGCAAGTGTCTCGAACACATTGGCACAATGCGCGACAGGCCACTTTTGGTGGAATTTGGCCAGTACAGTCAGCCCCCCTAGTTTGTTAGTCATATATCATGCATCCTATAAAACTATCGAAGACTCACCGGAGCTTGTACCAACTGCAAGATCAACCATGTCGTGGATTGGACAATCCCCGACTAGCTTTTGTAATTCACCCAGGAACTCGAGGGGCGTCACACCTCGTGCACCACCGCCATCAATGCCTATAATTCTCACTCCAGCTGTTGGTGGTTTGATATTAACCAGTAATTCACCGTCATCATCAAAAAGACAATCTACCCGGACTTGACTATCCGATTTTGGAAGATGAATGCCAAATAGAGTGGCGCATGTATCACATATCGAGTGACCACAGCTCAAGTGTCTCTCAGGAGGTCGGCAAAGGCACCAGATACAGACTGTGTTTGTCACAATCTGGCGTAGGAAACTGCTATACTTCTGGGCGTTTCCTCGGTGAAGCTGTGTAGCATCCGTATATCCATCCTCTAGAGCCTCGAATATTCGGTCACACTGAGTTTGAACCTCTTGATCCAAATGGATAGAGCACCGTGGTCCATATGAAAATTGAAATGCCTTGTCGCAATGGGACTTATATAGACTACGATATATCAAACACGGGTCAAAGTCTATGGAGCGTTAGGGGATAATATGTGTATGGAATTCAACCACTCACGATGCATCTTTTTCGGGTACGCATTCATCATAATACTAGAGGCAACAAATGCTGCGACCATGTTGTATGAAATCTTGAACTGAACGCAAAGTTTGAGAAACTTCTGCAAATATATATAGTGGTCTGCTTTGACTGAATCTGAGCCTCTTGAGACCTTAATAAAGTCGAATATCTCTCCTGGGTTATGCGCCATATGCCTTACTGCAGTGTTGAAAAAATGTAGAAGGTGAGTGGCGGAAAAAAGGCATCTGAGGCTTGATTTTATCTCTCTCGATTCCT